GACTAGTCTAAGCAGGGTTTTTTGGCTTTTGCTGTGAATGTGGTGCTATTGATCTGTGAACATAAATCCATATTTATCTCCAGTCAAGTTTATAGGACAATGAAATAATAGGATTGCTTGAATCAATCAATGTTTCTAAAGCAAGCTATAGAAATATAAACAAGTTACCAATTATTTAATAAAGTAAATTTGCTTAGAAATGCCTGGCGATGGGCAGCAGATGTTATACTAATTCCTGATTTCTCTGGCATTTCACAGGGGCTGCAAGATCTTAATGTCACTATTAGTAAAGGTAACTTTATTTTAGAAACTCATTCTGAACTCTCACAGCAAGAAGAAGAAACTGTCATTCCTTTTGACCACAAAATCTGTGCTATTTCTAAGAGGAGTTCTTTGAAATAACTAGGATATCTCACAGCTTGTTTCTTTAGAGGGGACTTAGTACAGTGGCACTACATTTAGTTAGCATAATGAGTTTTTTAGCCTCTAAGATACTGACTGTGTTTGAAGTACCATAACTTTTAGGCAGCTAAGATTAAATTTGTTAGTGAAGTGCAAGTTTGCATAATATTTTAGCTCTCCTAGAATTTTAAACTGTATGCCTGTTTCCCGAGAAGCATTTAGGTTAATATAACCAGGTTCTGACTTGGTAAAACAATTTAAGTGTAAAAGTGTGTCTTTCTGCTTCTCAGTTGGAAGTGCCATGAAAGTGGCCTCCTCGATGTGGTTTTACAGTCACTGTGTTTGCCTTTTGAGATCCACTTTATTGGAGTGACTTTATTCAAGGTGACTCAAGAATCTCCCGTGAGCTCATGGTATCCTTTTGGTGCTCTTGTCTGTTCTGAATGTAGAGCAGGATGTTTATTAGTAGGCTCTGATGCCTTGGTGGTCTGCCTGTGGGTAGTTTGTCATAGTTTATCATGCAGGAGTACAGAATCATCTGATTAAACTGCTTAATCAATCCTTGAACAGATATAGCAATAATTAAGTCACAGATGGCCATTGTAAATCCCTGTATTCCAATGCATTTTTATTCCAAGTACTTTGAATATTAAGGTTTTTTAAAATAAAAAAAAAAAACACAAAAAAAGGAAAAACCTCTTGAAATGTGCCTCTGGATTTTTTTTTTTAATCAGTCTACCTTCAGGATGTTGAGAATTCATTTTGGCTCTGGAAGGGTTTTTGCTTTAAGATAAATTATCATCATATATACTTACAAATTTTGTTACATGGGCTTTGTTAAAGCTTATACATAAACTAGTTCCTGATTAATCTCTTTTTTAAGCTGTTCTGTGGTATTTTGTCTGCAGTATTTTGTGGCTAAGCTGTTTGTAGCAGAATTTTGTTGATCTGAAGACTGTGCTATAAATTTCTATAGACACAAACTGCTATAAAATTAAAATGTAACATCTTCCTGGACTTCCTTCATCTATCATAAAGTTGGTGTGGCTCAGACTTAATTAGATTATTATAGACCTAAAATATATGAGGTAGAATAGCAGAAGGGGAATTGAATTTGGTCATTAACAGGAGTATGTGGTTAGTCTAGCTGGTGTAGTCAGTAGCTCCTGAAATATGGGACTACACTTTCCATTTGATATGCTTTGAAGACAGGTCAAAATCCTTAACATGATTTAGGTTTACTGGGAAGGTCTATATTCCTGCTTTTTAATAAACTCTGTATTTCTTGTTGGAACAACACTTGTGTATGTCAAGCATTGCTGAGGCTCACAGCCACAGCTGTATTCCTTTGGAAGTTGAAATGCATTGTTTTGGAAGAGCATTTACAGAAAATATTACTGGACTCGGGGCTGTAAGGCATGAAGGCTTCCTGTAAAACCTGCGTTGTCTGGGTGCCAGGTTTTTGTTCTTTTTCAGTTGGGGAACAATTCAGCCTCTCAGACTTTGAATGCTGTTGTGTACTTCCCTGCTCAATAGCTGCTGCTGTGAGCGTGTGTGGAGGCTGCAGCCCTGGTGCTCAGCACTGAACTCCTGCTATTTGCTGGGGAGCTCCCAGGCAGTGGTGGGGAAGGCAGGGTGAGATGGGTCCCTTCAGTGGAGGTTTTAGTCAACATCTGTTTGTGATGGATGAGGTGGTGATCCGTGGATTTTAGTTGCTACAGAAGAAAAGGGCGTGGATGGCACTGCGTCAAGGAGCTTCAAACCTTGGTAGATGCAGTCTTGAGGGAAGCCTGGTGGATGCAAACGCAGGCGCTGCTGCTGGCTCACAGCAGGCTGACAGGAAAAGGCTTCTGCTGTCTCTGGCTTCCTCCAGCCTGCGGTTAGGGACGACTTTGTTTCACTACTTCTTTGATACTGCTACCATACTGGCCAGCGTGACTCCACAAAAGGAACTCTTGGAGGTTGGTGAAAAATATCTGCGCTGTTAAGTCTTAATTAGGATGATATTTCTCACGTAAAAAAAAACTTGTAAAGAGAATTCTCAGGATTGATAAGTATCTTGTTTGCATTGCTCGCTGCATCCCTGACTCCTTTTCCCCCACAAGTATCCTGTGGATTTATATGGCTCTTCACAGAGCTGAGGTCCCTGACTCCAAGATGATAACTCTAAATGCCTCTGTCTGTGATGAGATGTGCTCCAGGCAGGTTTTAGAGTCAATGCTTGCCTCCCTTCTTAATGGTCAGGGGTGCCAAGCTAAAATCCCACATCAAGAAACAGGTGATGAGGCTTGACAAGTAAAACAAAACAAACCCCACCATCAACAGAAGAAAAGGACGAAAAGAAAAGCAAAAAAAAAAAAAAAGGCTTGATTATGTGTTCTTTCCCAAATTGGATTCTGATGTGAGATCCTATTTTCTTTCTTAAGCATATGTTTAAGAGCTATTCATACCTCCTGTTTCAGTGTGACTGGGAAAAGACTCCAGTCCTTCTTAAAAAACAAGTGAGGTTTCTACTTGACCTGTGTGTGCTGATAGGAGTCATGCAGTTGATTTTAATAAGAGAACATCTGTCCTCTATGTGCAGAAAAATTCCTTTTATTAAAAAGTCAAATAAATTAAAGTGAAATTAGAATATTATTTCTTGTCTTCTACCCCTGTGATATAAGAAGAAAAGACAAGTCTTTTAGGAAAGAAAGAAGAAAAGAAAAGAAGAAAAGTCTTTTAGAAAATACTTTGATGTATATCAATATGTGATTTTTTTTTTCTTTTTCTGAAAGTCCCACAGGATTGCTTGTTAGTTGGGATTAGCTTGTGCCCACTGATTAATTCCTTGTGTCACTGGTGCTAAATCTTGTTGCAGTTGTTCTTGCAGAACTTTCCAGCAGCAGCAGCAGCAGCAGCAGCAAACCATCAGAGCTGTTACTGACCTAGAATAGCAGTGGAGTTGTTAATACCTGAAGCAAGGTTTTCTGTGAGCTTCGTCGCTATTCTGCAGAGCTGATGAGCTGGTTAACACCTTTTACTTATTCTGTAAGGATCTGAGGCTGGAAGGGAATTAATGCAGCTGTGAAGCACGGAGAACCAAAATAGCAGTGATTCACTTAGAGAAGAGCCAAATCTTCTCAAAATTAAACTCCATTGTGTTAAAGACTTTACTTTTTTGATACCTGTATTATTAACTTCTCTGATAAAAGCAGGAAGTGTAATACAGTGATATTGGAGAAGCCTTGCACATTGAATCTAACCTATTGTCTTGGGGTAGTAAGAGAAAAAAACACTCTTTATCAGGTGTGTTATGAGAATCAGATTTTACAGAATTTCTGGTTCTCAAGGTTACTATATAATTCATAAACCAAGTTTTTGCATAGCGTTGATTTTCTTATCTTTCAAATAGGTTGTTTACGATGGGTGGAAACTCTGAAGCACGTATATGAGAATTTGTAGTTTCATAAGTATCAAATAATACTAGACAGTTCAGGGAATTTTGTCATGGGCAAAGGTATTTATGTGCAAGCTGCTGCTTCTGATGTTGTTGTCCTGAAGATTTATTTGATCATGTAATGGTTACTTTTGTGTATAACAGGTTGATGGTCTTCTCTTGTAGAAGTGCTTCAACGTGTGTACATTGCTTTACCTTTCTAACTGGACTGGATCAGATGCTTAAAACAGGCTTGAGGTTTGCAGGCAGGAAAATATGGAAGAAAGCTAAAGAATTAATATACAGTGAACAAACAATTTCCGGAACTGCAGTCAAAACTTGATTGTTGTGTGCAGGTTGTTCTAGGGCCTGTGGCAACCTGACTGTGCCACAGTGCAGAGAGAATAGATTTTACCATATTGGTGTTAAACCTGATACTAGAAATACAACATAGGGGTAGCCAAAGTATCTCTGGAGAGACTGGTTAGTGATACCTCCAAGGGGGACAGTGCACTGAGCCAGGAAAATTTGCTGTAGCCCTCATGAACTTGAGATGATACAGCCAAACAGTGCTGTCTGTGTGGACTCACCAGCGTGGCAGATGCTGACTTATGGATCTGGTACTACCCCAGAAATTTGGGGTTTTCTGCTCATTTGGTCTTTATTTGCATGCATTCTAGAAGTCACATTAGACCAGCTTTCCTCTAATTCTTCCTTTTATTTGTGGTAATTTAAAGTTTACTTGTTCCATTTTACAAGGTATAACCAGCTTGGAAATGAAGTGCTAATGAAGTTTCATATTGCAAAAATGCTCTAATTTAGTAACTTTAGTGAACTCCATTGTTTGTATATTAGGGCACCCCTGAAGCGCCTTTATGTTTTTCTTCCATGATCTGTAACATGGTCAGTCTGTCTCCCCCATTTATTTTCCCCACACACTCCCCAGATTCCCATACTTGAGGTTTAAAAACCTATTCAGCAACGCTGATGTCTCAAGCAGTGGATATGTAAATATTTACTGGCATGACAGTCAACAACAGTGGGAGGGGGGAAATTGCTACATTCTACCATTCAGGGAACCTTTGAGTTCTGTCTCAGAGTGTGCAGTCGATGAGAAGAGGAAAGGTTTGCAGTCTGTGCTTGACATGTTTTTGCTCTCTCGGTTCCTGTTTTGTTGCAGATGTCATTCATTTAGCTGTGGAAGGCTTTATCAGCCCTTGTGGAGGCTTTCCCCTGCACACAGCACTCAAGGCTGGAGCTGTAGTGGAGGAAAATGGAGCCTGTAGATCTTCTGGCACTTGTCTCCCTAGAAATGAACAGCACCACAGTCACCCTGGCTTTGCTGGCAGTCTTCCTGGTCCTGCTGTATTGGTAAGTGATAGTGGTGAGATGGGTTGCACTTCAGACACAAACCCTGCTGAAACCCAGCATCTCTAGAGTCTCATCCATGAGGGGAAACTGGAAGGTAATTTCCTAGGAGGGAAATGGAGAGGGAATTGGTTTGGAAGCAGAGAGTGCAATAAATACTCACAAAACTCACTATGCTTTTAGAGAATTTTCTCCTTGCAATCTTGTCTTGTAAGTGCTTTACCAACTGCTAACAAAAATTGTCTTCTAAGTTAAGAACTTATTTGTTGGTTTCCTATTAATGTCTTTGGGCAGCAGGAACATTGGTACAGGTCAAAAAGAAACCAAGTACTTGTTGGACCTCTTCTCTCTACTGTGCTGCACACTTGTTCTTTGGCTGAAGCGTACAGACACTTATTTTAACTGCTGCTTGAATTTCCTCTCTTGTTCTTTCCACACTGACTAGTAGACACAAATCAGAATAACAGCAGCTGTAATGGTTAGCACAGTAGGCAATGCAGTGAGCTGTGCTGAAATGAAAAAAAACAACAACCTCCCCCCTGTCCTGACAATTTCTTTCAGAAATTATATTAGCTGAACTGGGAGTGTTTTTCTGACTTTTCACTTGCATTTATCTTCAAATCCTGCCTTCCAGTAAAATAATGGGGCTTTTCTCAATTGTATGAGTGTTCAATAAAAGGTTTTAGGGACTGTTGCAGAAAAAAAAAAAAAAACCCAGCAAAAATCCAAAGCTAATCTGGAAGAGAATAGTGATGGCACCATTAGTTTAGCACAACTGTGGTAGCAATGTAAATTACAGATCACTTTGCATATATTTTGTTATTCTTTCACCCTGTTGAGCTTTGTTAAACTTCCTTCTGTGTTCAGAGACGATCTAGAGAGACTAAAAAGAGTCAAACCCATACTTGATGTGTATTGCTGTATCAAATAGGTGGGTGAGCCTGCTTTCTTAACAAGATCTTTCTTAACAAGATGCCCAAATAATTCTAAATATCTAAGTCCTACATCCTCTGAATTTTATTGGGAAAAAGAACAGTAGCTTCATTAAGACCATGTTGTTCACCTGTAGACCTGTGCATCTTTGGGAGCTTAAGGGGGAGAGAGGGAGGACAGAGGCACATCCACAGTTCAGAAAAGCAGCAGGTCAGCTGGTGAGATCTAGCCACCTGTGAATCATTTGAAATAGCCTGATACTTCCACATAGCTCATGTCCAGATGTGCCAAGATCTCCAAAGACCTGGAACTGCTCCTTGTAAATCTTAGGCACCGTCTGGTGTGTGTTTGCCCAGGGCCCCATTTTCCCATTCAGTTTAGGAAAGGCTGTTCCTCCCCTTGAAGTTAAGTCATGGTGGTTTAGTGCACATTTGGTCTTGCCATTAACAAAGCTAACTCTAATTGCAGAGTTAAACCAGACTCGTGGCTGTAGTCAGTTACTCCTAAATTGAGGGCCTACCATAAAAGTTTCAAAAAGTTCAGCTTAGCAGTGAGGTGGGAAATTGTCTAACAGTAGAGACACCCCATTCAGTGTGTCTGCTTTTCTGGCTGAAGGTGAGCTCTGTGAAAAGCATCAAGAAAAGGCAGCAGAAGTTTTATATGGGAAAAGTGTTTTATACTTGTAACCGCCAATGGTTACTACTAACCAATCTTGTTGATCTACAGATTCAAGTTTATTTTTAAGTAGCTTGTTAAATATGGGTGCCTGTAGATCACTCTTTCAATGGGAAGCTGGCAATGACTAAACTTGCAATAAAATAAGCCATGGGCTGTTGGTAGGTTTCCTTATGTCTGAGCTGTTCACATCTATTTATCTCAGTAAAGTGCAGTTCATGTGCCTGTAAGGTTAAAATCTTGAATCACATCTGCAAGTGTGGTAGTTGTTCAAACTTCTCAACTTTCTAATTTGAGTCTATTTTGTTGAAATTTTTATACTACCTGTGTGTTTAAACAAATCAGTAAAACTCAATGCATGCTCGCATCTTCCTTTATTCATGACTGAAACCTTGGGTTCAAGGAATTATTTAAACTGTATGTAAAATGGTTGCTAATATAAAGGCAGGTCTCTAATTCTAGAGAATGTTTTTATTGCTGTTGTGTTGTGTACCTGATTATCTGGTTCTTCTAGGAGTTAGAAAACAGGAGTATTGTGTATGGCAGGAGTAATAATAATGTAATAACTCTTAGGGTTCCTTTGAGGTTTTATTTATAAGCCTTATCTTAATTTTTCAATAACTGCTGAATTTTTTTTTCAGCTTTTTCTTCCAGGATTTCAGAAGGGCAGTCCTGGGGAAAGGGAGGAATGAATATTTGCTGTTGTAAATTTTGTTATTTATTGTTATTTTGTTAGTGTATGATTGATTTGGGTCATGTTGTGTCAACTGTTGTGTGAAAATAAGAACAAGTAGTTTGTCCGCCTTGTTGGCTGCAAAAGGCTTAGTAAGGCTCAACAGAAGGCAGTTGCAGGTAGAGGAGAGAGTAAAAAGATCTAATGCACACTAGAATAGGAATGTGTTCATGGCAACACTGGTGTTATTGAACTCTTTCCTTAGCATGATTTTCGTGGATGAGGGTACTCAGAGGTTTAAATGACAGCCTTGAGCTGCTGTCCATGGGCTCAGCCTCAGTCCCTGTGAGTGTGTATATTGTAAGGCCAGCTGGGATTTGTCACAGTTCATCTGGCAGGTGGTATCTTGCTAAACTGCGATAAGACCAATCTCTTCACATTTTTGGGTATGGTGAGGTCATATGAAAGAGGGAGAGAAGAAAGGGTTGATTGGGAAAGGGAGGAAGGCTGTAGCTGCATAAAAATAAACTTACTGGGAAGATGCGAGTCTTAGGAAGAAACTTGGATGATTTGATAATTTTTAGGCTGTTATTTATGGTACAATGAAGATCATCAATAACTCTTTATAACAAATTGTGTAGTAACACATCTCTGATTTCTCATGCATTGTCGTCAGTGTAATATGAAGGTGATGCTTGTAGTGTAATGTGTCAATTTTAAATCAGTGGAAGCAACTATAACCTCTCAGTGTTTGTCTGCTACATGACCTTAAGTCAGCTCTAAGGAGAGGCTTTGTAAGGCAGTTGATTAAATATTGGGAGTAGAAAGAGCCGTGAAGCTTTTTGGGTACATAGTCTATTTGGATTTGAATGGGAAGTTGGTTTTTGGTAATCTGTTAAATTAAGAGGCTGCTCAAGCCACCTCACTATCCCCCATTCCTGAAGGATTTAGTCATTTGCTACCCTCTCCATTCCTGCTATTTGTCTTCTGTAGGTAGAAGTCTCTTCTTGAAGATTTCTTATCATGGATTCTCTGATTTCTGTTACTACATCATTATTATTGTGATAGACAGGTTGCTGCTTTATTGACCACAAAAAGGCATAATATGGCTAACTACCAAAGTTCAGTAATACCAGTGGCACAACACTTAGTGCTCTTAAAAAATGTCTTGTCTGTGTCCTCCCCTGTGATTTCTTCCACCCAAACTGATTACCAGAGTAGTTTCTTTTAAGAGCACTTTCTTTCTCAATTGCAAGCACTGCTGTGTCTATTTGCCTAATCTCTGTGAATCTCGGGGGTTTTTTTTAGTCATGAAATAAAATCAAACTCTTAAGGGAAGAAAGAGGTTAACATTTACAAATCCCAGTGATACTCTCTATTGAAAAATAGAGTACTATATCTATGCAACATATTGTTCATTTTCATTTCAAACATATGCTGAGTTGGATATCCCATGCTTGGCTGTAGCTGCAAACATTGCTTTGTGTCTTTCCTTTTGCTGTCTGGGTAGATGTTTGATAAAATGAAAGCATGAGTTTATCTTGCTTTAAAGTTTAATGTACCATAAGCTGAGCATTATGAAGAAGCTGTCATAGCATTCAGATACCTGTGTTCAAACTGGATTATCAACCTCTTGTCTAAACAAACCTGGGGTTTTTTAGAAACATGGAGGTTGGGTGGAAGTGTTTGTTTATGTTTGTAAGATCTGTGTCTAATTGCATGCTTTCAAACATAGCAAAACATAAACTAGTGGTGTTCCTGTCTCTTTCTGAAAAGCTAAGTAATTCAGAAACATGTCATTTCCACATTGAAGTAATATTAATGATTACTTGTGCTAGAGACAAGTCTAGAGATACTTAGAGATTGGGGTATCCCTAGATCAAGGTACTACCCACCCAGTGCAGAATAAGTCAATTCTGCCCCAAAGAATTTGCAGTCTCTGATAAAAAAGAATGAAAACTAAATTTAGTATTTTTCCTCCTCTGACCTTAAGTCATTTGCATATAATTGGATGAGGACACACTTAGGCATTGGGGCACATGTGTTTGAGTTCATCAGCTGGTGCCATACCTGCAGTAAACCACATCAGGAGTTGATCTCAGGACAAGGTAGTATTTCCATACAGGTCATTTCAACATCATTGCTTGTTTGGCATTACTTTGCATCTGTGGTTTTGGAAAGGGCTCTAAAGGGAAAGTTTAGAGTTAATCTTTCTCCAGCAAAAACTTTGTTCTGGTTTTAAGGTTTTGCATTCTGGTCATAAGGTTTTGCAGAACCTTACTGTTTGGGATTGAGTTAGCTAAAACTACCTTTTTTTTTTTTTTCTAAAGTAAATGCCTTGTAATACTACATCTTGGACCAACTTTTTCCCTCAAAAGATCACTATTTACAAAAGTTATTTGGCAGCTAGAGCTCTAGGTTTATGGTCTGAGTGCAGGCATAAGGGAAGTAGATTATTTTCGCTAACACATAATACTTCTGGATAGATTCAGGGACAGGCACTAAAAAACCTGCATCCTTTCTGGGTAGGTAGGCCTAATTTTTCACCTGACACTGCTGCCATCAAAGGCACAGGGCTGCTAGGACCACTATGGCTGGAAACAGGCCTGGGTGTGGAGCATCAGGAAACACTCAGAGGGATGTAGAGCTCTGCTCAGGCTCTTCGAGGTGAGAGATTTAGAGAGGCATCCTAATGCTCAGGTGTCAAAGCCTCTCATTTCCC